GGAATTCTGCATCAATAATACAATAAACAGATCAACAGGAGAAACCCCAGCTAAGTTACTTTTTGGAAGAGATCAAATAGGAAAGATTAGGGATAATTTAAGAGAAGCATTACAAGATATTGATAAGGAAGAACGGGATTTAGAAATGATTTGAACTAAGGCAGAAGCACAAATAATTAAGGCACAAAATGTAAATGAACAGTATTATAACAAGAAGCATAAGGAGGCTCAAAAGTTTAAGGTGGGGCAATATGTTATGATTTCCAACGTAGACACAACCCCTGGAGTAGCTAAAAAACTTATACCAAAATTTAGAGGACCGTATGAGATTGTGAAAGAGCTACCAAATGATAGGTATGTTGTGAATGATATTGTTGGGTTCCAAACAACACAAGTACCCTATGAGGGAATTATAGACAGTAGTAGGATTAGAGCTTATGATAAATAATCAATTTCATTATTAGTTAGGGTTAAAATAATTATGTTTAATTTTTATTCAATTATGTTTATGCTTATTTATAATCCATTACTTGTACCATTACATCGAGACAGTTAGGGTGTGTTATGGATATTATGATTTCCATTTGTACCCCTATGGACACTTCAATCCATTATGTATGTTATGTCGTGCTTATTTAAACTATTATGAATGTTATGCCTTGCTTATTTAAACCATTATGAATTATGATTATTATGATTTGTTTATTTAACTCATTATGAATTATTATTATTATTACTGTATGTTTTAAACTTTAAAGGAAAATGTTCATTTCAAATATCCATTATGTTATGTCTTATGAAAGTCATGAATGTTAAATATCTTAGTTATGTAATTAATATACTGTAATATTAGGTTGATCGAGGACGATCAGACGTGTCAGGATGGCCGAACTGTAGTCTTATTTGAATTTCGCGCCATTGACAGATCTGATTGTCACTCAATTTGAAAAAAAAAGAGGATAACCACACTTTATGTTTAGACTTGACACTTGTGATTATGAATTATGGCCATCTGAATGTTATGAAAACTATTATGTCGAATTATGTACAATTAGTGTTGCTTTCCGCTAAATAAACTTAAGAAAACTAGAACAATATTATTTATTAACGGAGCCTACAATATATATATATATATATATATATATATATATATATATATATATATATATATATATATAAGCGAGGTTCCTACAGCCTCTGCCGTTTGAATTATATATATATATATATATATATATATATATATATATATATATATATATATATATATATATAATTCATTTATTTCTCTAACAGTGATGTTCGAATAATTATTCGAACATTTTAAAACTATTAAAATATTTTTGTCTATCTTCAAGACCACATCTCTTTTTCTGTCTCTTTCTCTCTCTCTTTCTCTCTCTCTCTCTCTCTCTCTCTCTTTCACCTTATGTGATCCTTCCATTGTCAATTTTCTAGAGGCTTATCTACCTACAATCACTCTTATCACTTTGATTCATATCCCACGAAAATATCGCAATTTTTTTCTCCAAAAATTTGTTCACACTTCTAGCTTTTTCTGCAAATCTCAGACTGCTGTCAAAAAACTGACAACATCATAATATATCTAACTAGTTCATCAATCAGACATCAACAAACACATTTTGAGTTTTCAACCTGTCTGATCTATATTACTTTGTGTTCTTTGTTCTCAAAAAGGTTTTATATGTGAAAAGATTAACTTTTGGTCAGGGTCTGGCACAGCTATTAAGTAAATGCAAAACAGATGTTACAGCTTCTTTAGCTGTTTTTAAATATTTGGGCTTATTTGGATGGTTTAGCAAAATATTGTCGTTTTGTAAAGATATAACCAATCTCTTTATTTAGATTATTTTTTATGGGCCATTCACTTAAATTGATCCCAAATAAGAGTTTATACTCAGATATAGATTATTAATGTTTTGACCCAAATCAATTTTAAAAAGAACATGTTTATTGAAGCTTGAGATATTACAAAAGTTTGTAAAAATAAATTTAAATATAAGTAATTTCTAAATCATTTTAAAGTGTTTAATAATCACAGATCAGACATAGAATATCTTTGTAACTCATTTATTAAATTTAATATATTTCACATTTTCATTGCAGATGAATAAGGTGTATCGAATTTCAATAAATTTTTATGCACAAATATCATGCTTCAGATATTGTGGAAAGAGTACTTGGATATTCCATTTAACAGGTATCCAACATAAAGGATAACAATATAAATAGGATAACACAATAAAACAAAGGTTAAATTTTTGCAATTGCATTTGAACAAAAAGCAACTTGCATCTCATAAAATGGTAAATCTCATAAAATACCAAAAGCTGTTGTCATTCACAATTCTTGATGCAATTTGTGATAGATTATACAGCACTTAGAATTGCTGTCTGAAAATACTACAATGGTAGTTGACAATTGGATATCCACTATTCCCTAATAATAATAAATTAAAAGTTTTATATACCCATAATATGCAAGAGTATTTAACAACTAAAATAGCTACTTCTAATAATTTAACTTCCATATTGTATGACGAGTATTATGGGTTATGGTACCTATTCTTTAAATGAGAAATTAATGTTCAACTTCTGTATAACATGTATATAACTGATGCCGAGACTATAAAATGACAGTGAAAGATCCTTCTATATGCGTCTATATTCTTTGCTAGTATGACCAAAGCAAACATCAACATACTTTTTTGGTATATCTTCTTCTTCAAGTTCCACTCCTATCGGAGATTGGAAATCATTCTGGCAATTATAATTTTATTGGTTACTCGCCTGAATAGTTCAATTGAACTGCATCCAAACCATTCAGGGAGATTGCGTAGCCACGAGATTTTACGTCTTCCTACGCTTCTTCTACCTTTGATTTTACCCTGCATTATATTCCTTAGTAGTTCGTACTTTTCACCTCTCATTATGTGCCCCAAGTATTCCAATTTCCTGATTTTTATGGAATTTAAAACTTTGCTTTGTTTTCCTAGTTGTTCGAGAACTTGTTCGTTTGTTTTGCGATCCATCCATGATATTTTCAAAATACGTCGGTAACACCACATTTCGAATGCTTCTAGGTTGTTAATGTTGGATTTTTTAAGTGTCCAAGCTTCAACTCCATACAAAAGGGTAGAGAAAATATAACATCGAAGCATTCTTATCTGGAGCGATATATTGATATCGCGATTACAAAAAAGTTTTCTCATTCTATTAAAAGTTGACCGCGCAATTTCAATGCGGCATCTTATTTATTTTGTCTGATCAGTATCTTCTGTGATCCATGCTCCAAGGTATTTGTACGAAGATATTTGTTCAATTTCTGTATTATCTAGTACTAGCTTAACTTTGATGTTTTGTGCTTTTGTAAATACCATGAACTTGGTTTTCTTCAAATTGATCTTTAGTCCATAATCGTTGCAATATATATTTAGTTGTTCAGCAAGGTGTTGCAGTTCTTTTAGTGTTCCTGCCAGAAGGACAGTGTCGTCAGCATATCTTATGTTATGAAGTGGCTCACTGTTTATTATAAGGCCCTCACTGATCTCGGCAAGCGCTAATTCTGAGATGGCTTCACTGTATAAATTGAATAATAAGGGTGATAAAATACACCCTTGGCGGACCCCACGGCGAATCTGGATATCCTTGGTCAGTTCGTTTTCAACTTTCACTTTTGCTGTTTGATTCCAATAGAGGTTACAGATGATTCTGATGTCTCTACTGTCTATGTTTTTATTTAATAAAATTTCTTTAAGTCGATTATGCTGCTCTCTGTCAAATGCTTTCTCAAAATCAATGAAACAGGTATATACTTCCTGATTAATATCTAAGCATCTCTGCGAAAGAACACTTAATGCAAACAGTGCATTTCGTGTTCCCAGTCCTTTCGTAAATCCCATTTGTGTATTACTTATGCCTTCATCTAATTTCTTATGTATTCTATTGTGAATTACTTTTAAAAACAATTTCAAGACATGACTCATTAAGGCTATGGTGCGATGTTCATTGCACTCCTTTGCATTGGCTTTTTTTGGAAGCAGTATGAATGTTGATTGGAGCCATTCTTTAGGTATTATACCTGTTCTATATATGGTATTGAATATATCCAAAAGAAGATCAATAGATTCAGTATTCACAATTTTAAGTAATTCGACAGGAACTTCATCAGGCCCGGGAGATTTACCACCTTTAGCTTGTTTCATTGCATATTCAATTTCTTCTCATATGTTTCTTCAATGTCAGGCCCAGTATCATCCTTAAATTCTTTTGGTGCTTCTGTTCTCTCTTTGTCTTCAAAAAGTTGTGCTATATATTGTGTCCATCTCTGCATTTTTTGGTTTATATCTGTTATAAGTGCACCCCTTTTATTTCTTAGTTGCCTAGTTTGAAGTGTTTTTCTCATTCCTGTTAATTCTTTTATGCATGTTAAAAAAGTCATATTTTTTCTCAATTTCTTCTAGTTCTTGGCACTGCTCATGTAACATTCTCTCCTTAGCTTCTTTTATTCTCTTTTTTATTAATCGATCAGTTTCATTATATTTAATTGGATTTTTTTGAATTTGATTTGAATGATTTTCTTTCATTCATTAATAGTAGTATTTCTTCAGTCATCCAATCTTTATGTTTTCTATTAATTGGTTTTATTGGTTTTTTTTTGGTATATGCTCAATTCTAAAGAACTGGATAATCTAGGAATGGTATCTACAAATTATTGGTATTGTAGACTTAATAAGGTAGTAAGCTATTAACAGTTTGAACAGAGGATACACTATGATTGCGTAATTCATTCAATAGAACCTAATTATTATACCTTACCATATATGCCATATGATAAATAAATAAAATAAATTAGACCTTAGGTTCCAAAGATATTTAGAGCTCTGTTTCATTATTGATTGATTCATGTTCATGTTTCATTTGAACTAGATGCCCTATTTAGTGTTAAAAATATAAATTTTTAATTCGATATGTATTTTTTAGGTTCCCTGGATTTAAGGAAGTCCGTCTTGTACCAAACAGGCATGACATTGCTTTTGTTGAATTTGAGAATGAACTGCAATCAGGAGCTGCAAAAGATGCACTGCAGAGTTTTAAGATTACTCCTACACATGCGATGAAAATATCATTTGCCAAGAAATAAATTAGGAAATAAGGTTTAGTTTAGGTTTTAAATTTGTACAAGCAAAGTAATAAACATTTTGAGAGAAGTAATAATTTTTTTATTGGGTGCATAACTATTTGTAAGATAATGAGTATAAACAATGGACTTAATCATGTGCTGCATTTCTCTACAATTTTTGTCAGTCACAGATATATACAGGGTGTTTTATGATAAGCTTACCCTATCTATATATTGGAAACTATTTATGAATATTTTCTGGTTATGAAGAACTTAAAGAAAATATTTTGATACACTTGCCATTTCCGGTTATACCAGAAGTGAACTACAATTTTGTTATTGTAAGTGGAACATCCTGTATATTATTTTATTCTTTTAACATTATTATTATTACATTATTTCTTTTCTAATTTAAACATTAGAAAAGCTTCTGGGCTGGACAAAATAACACCCAAGATGATAAAGGAGTCATACTGATTACTCGTATCTTCAATGCTATTTTACGATTAAACTACTGGCCAAAACTCTTTAAAACCGCTGAAATAATACTAATCTCAAAAGCATGAAAAATTCAAATGATTATGAAGACCTAAGAATCTCGTTCGTAAATGATGTAATCACTAAATACAGCACAAAGCACTTGAATCACATAGTAACCCCTTACTCCAACCTCTGGTAGAATACCAAGCCAAAAGGAACTGGCCAGCTGACCTGAAGAATGGTTAAAGTGGCCTTGTCACTGGAGAAAACCTCACCATGCCAACAGTATCCACTTGCTCCGCAGCTAGAAAAGCTTAATTTGTGTTTTGATTGCTAAAGATTGTGTCACAATAAAAAAAAAGATTCTGTTTAAAATTCTAGACAAAATTTGTATGAGGTACTATAGGTCAAACTTCATCTTTTTTCAATAATTTTGACAGCTAGACTATATTTTCAAAGTTAATATATGATGCATTTACAAATATGTCTTGAAAACCTTTGTACACGAAGACTAGGTAATGTTCTTTCAGGAATTTTCATCGAAATTCTAAATACAGGGTGTTTTTAAATAATACATGATTTCTTTAAACTTCAAACCATAGTAAGTGAATTATTTTAAACAAAACACTTGTATTTTATAATTTTAATGAAAAATAAAGTCAGTTGTCATTCAAATGGTATTAGGGTTCCCTATTTCTAAAGTTAATACTTTTGGAGATAATTGTGGTGGTGTTTAGTTCCGGTACAACCGGATATAGCGTGACTCAAAATATTTTCACATATTAGATCATCATAAACCAATTTTTATTAATATCATGTAAATAGTTTCCGTCTTCTCTGTCCTTTTTTATGATGTTGAATCGTGGACCTTGAATGAAGATATGTGCATAAAACTGGAAGCATTAGGCTTCCAGTTGGAAGGGGAACAAGCTCAGTTTTAAAAGCAGATAGGTGATAAGTATTTTCATTATAAAAGAAATCAAATAAAGTATGTATTTACCTGTATATGACAAGATAACGTAATACTAAATCTGTCCCTTGTCACAATGTTCCATAAGCAAAGCAAATGATGGATACTTACCTTGACTCTACCTACTGAAATATCTCATCTAGAACAAGTCTTAGTTTGTGTTCACGATTAAACCTAAATAAGCTTAGGAATCATATATTTTTCAATCTCACGACTGCCTCATTGTTTTCGTACAAACTGTCTAGTAGTTTAAGGCTTCCTCATAGACTACAAAACAAATATATGGAGACGTTTTATTTTCTTGATTTTTCGATGAATTGTAGTAGATTTAAAATGTGCTTTCGTGCATTTCTTAGCTATTTGGCATGCGGTAAATTAATTCAATCTATTGTGTATTATCTGTTACCAATGAAATTAGTCTATAGTTGTTGCATTCTGTGGTGAAAACTTTTTTATGCATAGCAACAATTACGGATATTGTCCAGTCATTTTAGAGTTGTCCATATGAGTTAATATAAGTAGTGTATGACCTTTTTCCTATATGTTTGGGGATGGTAGCTTACCGCACTTGTTTAAGAACTATACATATTTGGTTTGTGTAAACTCAGTTTAGACGTGTCCATGAGTTTCTTGGATAGTTCGAAGCCAGGTGGTTTTTGTGTAATATCTGGTAGAAGCTAGGTTTATAGAGAATTTCAAGAAGTGACAAATATTAAACTTAGTCTCGGAGAACTGCTTGTCTGATATTAGGAATGCTTGAACTTCGATTTTTTTCGTCTCTTAAATTCTCATGCTCCCAGTATTGGAGGTTCCTCGTGATTTTTTCGTATTGCCCTATAAAATCATGTAAAGTTCAAAGATATGATGAAGCTATATGGTTTAGGACAAGTAGCGAGTAAGTGGAGGTAGACTCAATCGTATTGGTGTACGCTGCTGAAAATACCAGACCAATTGCAGATAGTAGTCCAAGCTTGTTGGCAAAACGTTTTGAAGTTCAGATTCTACAGTCTCAGACCTTTTCATGACGCCTATTGTCGAGACAGTAAATTAGTTCATACCTAATCCGATTTCTTTTTTTCAAAGATAGAGATATTCTCTGTATCCAACCGGAGATATATTCGTTTAGGTAATCCTGGAGGAATATGCTGTTTAGGTGTGCTTATGATAGCGCGGGTAGTGTAAAGATCTGAAAGAATTTGTTTTCTTGACAGTGGATTTTATGCTAAATTAATCGTTAAAAGTTTCTTGTAATGATCTTCACAAAAACAATTTTGCATTTTTAGTAAATAATTAAAATATGCTTTAAAAGAAGAAAGAACAGGAGTATCTCAAAATATCCGTTTACTGCCTACTGTGTCTTGGAATGCCGCAGAGCGTTTCTTGACATAAATTATTACTTTCTTGTATATATATAATATATACATGGTCTTTAAAGGATGATTTTTCTTCTTCTTCTTAAGGTGCCGTGCATTTCTGCGTAGGCGTCCACCGTACATCGTCTTGTCAGGTGAGATGTTAAATATTCTGGATTAAATAATTCTGTTTTTAGCAGCATTGCGAAGCATTTCATAGCTGTGGATTCCTGTCCATTGTCGAATATTGCGCAGCCATGACATTTTTTTACGTCCGAGACCTCTCCTACCCTCTATCTTCCCTTCGAGTATCAGTTGCTGAAAAGTGTATCGTTCTCCTCGTATTATGTGCCCCAAGTATGCAGTCTTCTTACTTTTTACATAATTAAAAAGTTCCCTATCCTGTAAGCCCGCTCTTCTGAGTACTTTCTCATTTCTGACCCTGTCCGTCCATGATATTCTGAGCATTCGACGCAGGCACCACATTTCAAACACTTTACGTTTGTTAATGGAACTGGCCTTTAACGTCCATGCTTCCATTTCGTACAGGAGAACAGGCCACACGTAACACTTAAGCATCTTATATCGGAGGTTAAAATCCAATTTGCGATCAGTCAGAAACTTACGAAGCCTCAAAAAAGCATTTCTGGCTTGTTCAACTCTGCTCTTTATTTCATTCTCGGGGTCCCAACCCTCATTCAGCAAACATCCCAAGTATTTAAATTGCCTGACTTGTTCGATTTCTTCTCCAGAGACATATATCTTTGCGTTGGGGTAATCATTTCTACTTATAATCATTGATTTTGTCTTCTTGATATTTATTTTCAAACCCCGAGCTTCACTTGCAAGAGTTAGATCATTTAAAAGGCATTGAAGATCTTCGATGTTATCTGCCACTATGGCTGTATCATCGGCATACCTGATGTTATTAATAAATATGCCGTTAACTTTAATACCCTTATTAGAGTCTTCCACTGCTTCTGCGAAGGCTTTTTCTACGTATAAATTGAACAGCATTGGGGACAGTATACAACCTTGCCTTACTCCTTTTTTAATGGAGAAATCTTCTGTTTCGTTGGAATTTTGAAGACGTACTGTTGCTGTCTGATTCCAATACAGATTGGCGATGATTCTTATATCCTTTGTATCCAATCCCAACTCTTGTAGGTATTTTATCATCAATTCGTGTTTTACATTATCGAATGCTTTCTCGTAATCGATGAAACAGATAAAAACATCCTTCCTTTGATCTAAACAATTCTGTATCAATGTTTGCATACTAAAGATCGCATACTAAAGGATGATATTTAAATAAAACAAAACAATTTCCCATACAATTAATTTATTTACTTATACAGGAATAAATAGATAAGATGTAAGATATACAATATATATGTACAAACTATATACAATAAATGCAGGTATAAAATCGCTTACTTCTTTCTGAATATCACTCTAGAAGCTGCTTCGATCTGTCACGCAGTTAATCACAAACTATTCCATTTTTTAAATTTCATTTTCCGGATTTTCTTACCCGGGAAATTCAAGAATATCTGATACATTTTCCTAATAAACAATAACTAATTAGCAAATTACATTTGGACTGACTTTACATGATTAATACTAAATAATGTTAATAAAAGAAACACACTTTGCGATAAATTATGGATCATTGGGTATATTAAAATCAATTGAAACAAATATTAATAGCTCTCAAACAGAAGTATAGTAATGTTAGCACATAATTGAAATATACGGCATCTTGCCAATACATAAAAGACAATACACAGATGATAATAAAGTTATAAATATTTTTGTGTGACTGTAGACATAGGTGAGCGTTGATTAAAGTATAACATAAAATATTTAAGTTCTTGTAACATTGAGAAGTAGACATCGATATAGTGCAAATCAAAAGAATTGGTTCGGAATGTCTTTTAAGCCAAAATCGAACTATTTTTCCATTTCATTTAATAATGAATATTGCTGTTTAACGGATAAACAAAAGAATTAAAAAGTTTCCGAGGAGATATTAAACACTAAAGAAAGGGAACTATAAAAAGCCAATTACCTATCATGAATCTAGGATGAAATGTTCGAAGAACAAGAAGAAACCATTTTAACACCCACTTTCCCCAAGAGAGGTTATTGAGGTGATTAGAAAGAGTTATCCAAGAAAAGCTCCAGGTACCGACAAGATAACCAACAGGGCTCTAATATACCTTCCAATGAAAATAATCGCCATGCTGACATTCAGGCTTTTCCCTAGTCGATGCCCACGTCATTAGATTTACAAACCAGAGACAAATAACACATTTTGCACAATAGCAGTCAGTCAAGTAACAGAACGACTGATTGTCTCAAGACTTCAAGGAGAAACAGCAAGACGAGGAATAAATCTAGAAGTTTTTTCATTCAACGGTTCAGAACAAAACACCAAGCGAACTCCAATGACCCAGACTAATGCAGCTGGCAAAAGACAAAGACAGAGTGTGGCACAAAGGACTGGTATATAAAATGAAGGAATGCGGATACAATTGGGCCATGACAGGTCTAATTTCTTCGTACCTAGCTGACCGGAAGTTCATAGTTCTGATAGGACAAGTCCTGTCTGAGGTCGGAACTGCCGAAGCTCGAGATCTGCAAGCAGCAGTGTTCTCACCGATACTAGACAACATATACACTACATACGTTCCAACATTAGGAACACTTATCCGCCTTTACGCATCTGACATCTTAAAAGCGACAAAACACATAAACCAGGGCATTTTTTTTGAACCTATTCTCTATCCTTCCATTGTTGGATATAGGTCTCCCCAGCTCTCTCCATCTTTCCCTATCTTGAGCTGTTCTCTGCCATATGGGACCTCCTTTTTTTCTGATGTCATCTTTCCACCTCATCTGTGGTCTGCCTCTTGATCTCTTTGCATTGTATGGACGCCACTTTCCGATGACATTGTTCCATCGACCGTCTTGGAGACGTTCATTGTGTCCAGCCCATTTCCATTTCAGTTTTGCTGCTTGTTCTATCGCGTCTACTGTCTTTGTTCTGGTTCTGATCCACTGGTTACGTTTTCTATCTCTAAGTGATACACCCAACATTTGTCTCTCCATCGCTCTTTGTGCCTTCCTTATCCTATCCAAATTGGCCTGTGTAAATGTCCATGTCTGTGCTCCGTAGGTGAGCGCCGGTATTATACAGGAGTTATATACCTTGCTTCGTAAGTATAGAGGGATTGTTTGATTTTTTAGAACGTAAGAAAGTTTGCCGAACGCTGCCCATCCCATTCTTACTCGTCTCGATATTTCGGCTGTTTGATTTTCTCTATTAGCTCTGATTGCTTGTCCTAGATAGATATACTCATTTACCTGTTCTATTTTTTCTGTTTTTATTTTTATTGCCTCTTGGTCTTCCGTGTTTGTCATTACTTTTGTTTTGTTGAATAATTTTTAGGCCTTTTTGCAGTGATTTTTCATGAGGTTCATTCAGCATTAATTCCAGTTCTTGTCGTTCCGAGGAGATCAGGAGTATATCATCCGCATATCTAAGGTGATTTAGGTATTTTCCGTTAATACATATTCCTCTGTTTTCCCAATCTGTTGATTTTATTATGTCTTCGAGGGTCAAGGTAAATAGTTTAGGTGAAATTATATCGCCTTGTCGGACTCCTCGTTTAACTTTTATATTATCCGTTATTAATTTGTCGTCCAGAATTACGGTCATGGTTGCGTTTTGGTAAATATCATGTATCAATTGTCGGTATCTTGAATCTATTCTACTATTGACCAGAGCTTCTTCAACCGCCCAGTGTTCAATGCTGTCGAAAGCCTTTTCATAATCTACGAATGCTAAGTACAGCGGAAGGTTGTATTCATTGGTTTTCTCAATTAAGATTTTAAGCGCATGTAGATGGTCGATTGTGCTGTATCCTTTCCTGAATCCGGCCTGTTCCACTGGTTGGTAGTTATCAAGTTTATAGGTTAGTCGGTTGTTTATTATTCTTGTGAAGGTTTTATATAGTTGTGACAAAAGGGAAATAGGACGGTAGTTGTTTAGGTCTGTTCGGTCTCCTTTCTTACGTATTAAGATTGTGTTGGCATTTCTCCATTGTTTAGGTATTTTACCTTCAAACAGACATTTGTTGAACAGTATTTTTAGCATTTTTTTTTATCGTGTCTCCTCCTTCTTTTAGCAGTTCCGCCAGTATTTTGTCCTCACCGGCCGCTTTATTTCTTTTCATATCGTTTATGGATTTTTCGATTTCATCTTCAGTTATTTCTGGTAATACCTCTGAGCCAACATTTTGTATTTTCCTCGAGAGATTCTGTTTTGATGATAGTGGTGGGTCATTTTTAGAACTGTATAGGTCTGTGTAATATCTTTCTGTGATTTTTACTATTTCTCCTAGATCTCTTTCTTCATTGTTCTCAGCTTTTTCTTAATGCGGTCTTCTTGGTATTTCTTTAAATCCTCCTTTATCTGTTTTCTTATGGTTTTGTTCAGTTCGGTAAACTCCACTGTATTTCTTTTGTTATCATTCAGTAGTTGTCGTCGTTTTTTAGCATATCTTGTGATTTAGCGCTAATTTTTTGTTGTTTTCGCTTTAGGGCATAGCAGTAATGAATCTTCAGACTACACTCTATATACGTTAAGACTTATGTATCGAATGGAAAACAGTTGTAAGTCCAGACAAGATCAGTTATGTTTAAGAAGAGAAGAGAAATTCCATAAGAATTACTACAAATGCAAAACAGACCCATCAAATGGAGAAATGAGCTAAGTACTTGGGAGTCATAATAGACACAAGTTAGTTACCATGTAAATTGAACGTTTCACAAAGCAGCAGCCGTCTCAGTGAACATAAGAGAACTTGTAGGAAGAAAAATCAAGTTAGCATTCAAAACAAAAACAAAACTGATCATACTGGGCATGGAGACACATGTACACAATAAACAAGAAGAATGTCTCAAGCAGCCCATAACTGATGCTCATGAGAAACCGCAAAAGTAACCTGCTACGTGGCTGAATATTTCCTGTTTACAAACATGTAGCAAACGAGTCAAATTTGCAGAATTGGAAGACAACAGAAACTTCATCTTGCGAAAAGTGGTAGGGTATGATGTCTAGCATCGATGGAAGTACAGAAGAGCTAAACAACAACTGCTTGCTAACCTATAGATCCATTTCCTAACTATACTGCAACCAAAGACCTGCTTTCTACCATCATCTTAGATCTTCCTTGATACCTTAACCTAACTTTATTAGGAATTACTTAAGATCTTCTTTTGAAGAGCATGTAGTAGTTAAGTTTAAGACATGCAACTAGCAATAATACTGTGATGCTTATCTCTAGCCACTATATATAGCCCAGATCATGAAATTTTCCTTTTTTAGCTTAGTTGACTGTAAGGGTTAAGGGTCAAGGGTTAGATGGATGACTGTTGCGCCAGACAGAGAAGAATGGAAAAGGATTGGGGAGGCCTATCTCCAGTTTCTTCCACAAAGTGAAATAATGAACCGCAGAACAATGTTCATAAGATGAGGAATTTCCGCGAGGCCATGTGAAGAAAGAAACCAGAGGCTGTAGCGAAACAGGAATCGGGTGCTAAACTATAAATAATGCAAAAAATGCTCCTTTCCGGTTTCTTCACAAGAAACAGCATTATTGCCAATCTTCTTCCTATCTACTCACCAGCTCTAAATCTCGCAGACTTTTTCATATTTTCCAAACTCGAAAAATCTTTAAAAATGTGAAAGTTTGACTTATTAGCAAACATTATTAGCATTGACAAACATGATAAACATTATACAGACAGACATTATAAACTGCTAAGAGGATACTTGAACGATTTATATTTATAACAGTGGCGGCTTTTCTTTATGTGCTGCTGAGCTGCAGAACTACCAAACAACCATAGCAAATCTTAATTATTAAAGAATAATTAATATAGTTTTATTTCAAATCTGCCATATTATCATATTAAACATAAACTGTTAATAATAATTCACCAACAACGATGATTAATATTATTTTTTTTACGTATTTACTCCTCTAGTGAAACCGTATAATTTTTTTACGTATTTGGTGCTCCAGTGAAGCAATCTTTTTACGTATTTGCTGCTCCAGTGAAGCCGCGTCGATAACAACCGAAACACTGGCAGCGGTAAAATGCATTTATTAGGCAAACGGCGATCTTAGCCGATGTGCTTCGGCAATCGGCTGATTAACGGCCTCGGAAATGTGTTTGCGAGCTGCAATTCACGACAGTTATTCGTGACCGTTGCATCTGTGCCGTGTTTAGAAATTCTTAGGTTACAATTTTGTTTAATTTGTTTTGTTCGAGCGTGTTTAAAACAATGGAGTTTCAATTTAAATTAGGTGTAAATAAATTTCAAAAACTTCACTATCAACAACAGTTGATTATAAAAGAACGTGGCCGTCCTATGCCTGATCTTAATATTGAAGTGTCCGGTAAAAGCCGTGGAAAAACATATACGCGTAAATTTAATAAAGACATGTATCTACGAAATCAGTGGATTTGTGGATGTTCCGAAAAAAATGCTT